CTCATCCCGCCCCCTTGACCTGTCCGTCCTCCCTGGACTGACCTATCTCCTCCCTACCTCCCCACCTGCACTCACCTTTACTGGCTCCATCCCCGCCTCTTTGACTGGTCTGTCTCCTCTCCACCTATCTTCTCCTCTATCCATCTCCTATCCACCTCCCCCTCTCTTCCTATTTATTTCAGAACCCCCTTCCCCTCCCCATTTCTGAAGAAGGGTCTAGGCCCAAAACGTCAGCCTTCCTGCTCCTCTGATGCTGCTTGGCCTGCTGTGTTCATCCAGCTCTGCACCTTGTTGTCTCAAATTCTCCAGCATCTGCAGTTCCTACTATCTCTGAAAAGTTGTCCAGATGGAATTGTTGAGTTTCTTTTTTTAATTTGTCCATCCTGCCTCCTGATTCTGCCTAGCTCTACAAACTTGTAGTGAATAACTAATTCAGCCTTGTTGGCTGGGAGTTTCCAAAATTCCTGAGTCATTGAGCTGATTTTATGGGTGGATTAGTCGGGAGGAATTACTCACTGTTACAAATTGACAATGATGGTGCCTGTTCGATCTTGTTTGACAAACACACTCACTGCTCTGTCTACAAAACCTGCTGGAAGTGTTTTTTTTGTGAATTGTGAACAAGGTGCGGGTTCATTCATGCTTTCGAGATAAAAATTGTTTGGACTTGAGCCGCAGTCAATCCCTGCAAGACAATATGATATTTAAGATGACTCTTGTACTGCAGTGGTAGCGGCCTTCCCTCCGGGACAGGAGGCATTGATTTACATTCCACTTGCTCCAGAGGTGTATCATGACAACTCTGAATAGGTTGGTTTAGGAAATATCTGTACGTTTGTTAATTTTCTAGCTTTTTACATTTTAATTTCCACCGAGCAGGTTCACATCAGAAAAGAAGATGACAGTGAAAGCTGAACATACTGAGGGATTCAGGGAGAACCAGTGGAGCGACAGGCCCTAGGAGATGACGTGTTGACTGTAGAGGGCAGAGATGAGGGAGAAAAGGACAGAGGAACAGGAAAGGCAAGGGATCCATCTCAGAGACTGGTTGCTCCTGGTCTCGGGGAGACCTTACTCTGTGGGAAAAATAAAGAACTAAAATAATCATTAAAGTCACCAAGGACTCCATGTACTCTCCCGGCCTTGGTTACAGACTGATTAGATGCAGCACACTGGAGTGAACACATGTCAGTTACATGTACTTCACTGGACGACATTCAATCAGAAGGTTTTTGGATCTAAATCCCACTTTAAAGCACGGAGTATAAAACCCAGGTTGTCATTCAATGCTGCACTGAGAGAATACAGGAGAGAATGATCACCTTTCTGAACGCGTCTGAAATCGAATCCATGTTTGCTCTCTCTGGTAAAAGACTGTCATTAGGCACCACATGTAAAGGAAGGTCTCTCCTAATCAATATTTATCACATGGCATGCAGAAATTCAAAGAGAATTCACTTGCCCTGTATGCCTTTGCTGTGCACAATTTGGCAGCCATGTTTCCCTACAATAAGAGCAATTATACTTCATTGGCTGTGAGGCTTTGCACTAATATAAATGCAACTTACCCTTTATTTTCTTCAAAAATACAATGTTTTAACCTGCATCAGATCACCAAGGTATTTAGGGCAGGATTAGGTTCTGTACAATAGAAAGTGTTTGAATTGCTGTATGGACTTCCAATACTTCACAGCTCCTGTTCACCAAGGTGCAGAATGCTAATGTTGAACAGCAGAAGCTTGGAAATGACCAACATTAATAGGAATGCAATCCTCGGTGAAAATTCAAACTGCACAGCCGATTATTGGTGGGTCTCCAGTTGACGAAGCTCCTGGTTTTCCATCGTCCGTAACTCTTCGCACTGTTTTGTTTTGTTAGCTTCCTTAATGTATGCCCAGTTAGCCATCAAACAGAGGAGGAAGTTTATCTGGAAAAAAGAGAGGTGAGGAGATGGGAGAAAGGGTTTTGACACCTCTTCCTCTCATACGCAGGCACGTGAAGAAAGAGTGGGAGATACACACACACACACACACACACACACACACACACACACACACACACA